GAAGCTTCTACTATAGCAGTACCTGGTTTTCTCATCCAGGCAGCACCTAACAAAGTTTTCAAGGTCTGTTTTCCCCCAGCCTTACATGGCAAGAAACTGAACAACCTTTTGAAATTGTTTCATTTTGTTTTTTATTTTGGGAACACAACAGCCATGCTCTGGGTTTACTCCTGATTCTGTACTCAGAGATCACTCCTGGCAGTGTCTGGAGGACCTTATGGCAGTGCCAGGGATCAAAACCAAGTCTACCATGTGCAAAACAAGTACCTTACCTGCTAACCCATCTCACTCTCTCCAGTTTACCTAATAGGGGACCAAACAGGACAAGGAATCACATCACAGCCTGGCCCTTGCCCTGGAACAGAAAACTATACAATCAATACTGGGAAATTTAGTTACTGCCACTTGGGATCTAGTTTTCCTCCCCTAGAGTGTTCCCTCTGGGCTTGGAGAAATAAGTCATCTTTATGTGCCCTAAACCTTGTTACATGATTCTTTTCAAACCAAGAGCAAAAGCACACTAATCATGATGCTATTTTCCACTAACAAGGACATAAAACAGACTCCATAGAGCCATGGGGAAATATCCCAGGATTATATCATCAGCCTACAAATTTAACATAAAGACTGCACAGCAAACTAAGACAAGGTAATTGCTCAATTCAATACCTACCAGGAAATACAGCACCGTAGCACTGTCCTCCCATTGTTCATTGACTTGCTCAAACGGGCACCAGTAACGTCTCCATTGTGAGACTTGTTGTTACCGTTTTTGGCATATCGAATACACCACAGGGTGCTTGCCAGGATGTGCAGGCGGGATACTCTCGGTAGCTTCCCGAGCTCTTTGAGAGGGATGGAGGAATCGAACCCTGGTCGGCCCCATGCAAGGCAAACGCCCTACCCTCTGTGATATGGCTCCAGCCCACCAGGAAGTATACAATATTAAAATGAGAAAACAGGAATTTGTCACAAGTGATGGAATAAAATTAAAATCTTGGGGAAGATTCAAATTTCCTATGAATAGCCAGTATGGAGAAGACCTTAAGTCCACAGTTGCAACAATATTAAATAAAATCAGAAAAACAACAAGCAAAATTTTTTAAGAATTTAAAAAAAAAAACTTTTAAAAGCTCTCAATATCACCAATGATCTTTTAAAATGCCATAGTTGAGTTAAATAATACAACAGAGGAATTTAACAGAATCAATGAAGTGGAAAATAACAGAACAACAAAAAGAACTACAAAAACAGTAAGAGTCCTATGGGACGCTAAGAGAATATCCTGCCCAGGGTATCAAAAGAAGGGAAACTCTGAGGATGTTCCCACCCACAACTGTAAGGACTTCGTTCATGCTTCTCAGACCAGCTGGCTGGTTTCTCCAGAGCCCTTTCAGTCCCACTAAATTAACTTCCAGATTTAGGGCCAGTTTCATGTCCATAATGAACAACAGAGAAAAAAAATGCAAAATTCACTTTTTCTGTGGGTGTATTTGCCTCTTCCTCAGCTAATACTTAATTTCTCTATTCTCCAGTCATCTCCCTGCTTTTTCCAGGGTTACTAGCTGTGGTCATGAGAGACATGGTAGGTGCTGTTCAATTCCCAGGACTGTCCTATAAAAGCAGCAGCTCTCTAACCACCTTGCTTGTTTCTCTTTACCACTCACCATGCAGTGCCCTTTCACTGAAAAGCCATAAGTCTTGCTTACCTTCTGTGGTATCTCTTATTCTTAAACAGCCCTGGCACTCATAACATACCCAATAAACAATTGCTGAATGAACAAAAGTTAAGACTCACAAGGTAGGTCTTCGCTCCCTAGTCCTGAATACTGAGGTTCCTGGAAGCTAGACACCCTCAATCAGGAAGGCATTAGCCCATTCCTCTCTTCAGTGCTCCTCCATCCAATATGCAGTGACACTAAGTGGCTTCCCAGTCCAGCAGCAACTACCTCTTCTGCACCCAGCCCACCAGGCGAGTAAGACTTTTCTATTGGGCAGGTGGGGCGGAAGGAGTAATCTGAGGTGGTGTTTCGGTGACATGTGGCAGTGCTCAGGGCTTACTCCTGTCTCTGTGCTCAAGGATCACTCCTGGCATTTCTGAAGGAATCAAACATGGTGCGAAAGGTTAAACTGGGGTCAGCCACCTGCAAGTCAAGCACCTTAACCCCTCTCTTACCTATACCAGAACCAGTTTATCAGAACAATTGCTTTCCACTCCTGTTTTTATACATCATTTTCCCTACAGCAGCATGAGGCTTTAAAATAAAAAGCAGTTCTTCTTGAGCTAGGCTCAGCCCCTCCAAAGCAAATACCTGTCTAATCATCCACATAACTGGTTCTTTATTGGTTTTTCTGCTTGAAGTGTTATATTTCTAAGGCTTATCATAAGTCTTTTACACTCTTCAGTTTCAACTCTAATGTCACCTCTGGGGATTTCTCAAAACCCAAGCCCTTTTCTTCCACAAAAAGGTTACTATCTTCTCCCTTTCATCCCTCCAAAACCCAACCCTCCAAAACTCCTTCCTCGCAGATCACTGCTAGAGATTGGCCTGTGGTCACAGGGTGAAAAAACAAACAAAAAAAGTATAGTGAAGTGACATCTGCACTTATTTGTTCATTGCAGCACTGTTTACAATAGTCAGACTATGGAAAACACCTAAGTGCCTGAGAACAGAAAACTGGTTAAAGAAACTTTGTAGAATACTATGTAGCTGTTAGAAAAGATGAATGGAATACTATGTAGCTGTTAGAAAAGATGAAGTCATGAAATTTACATACAAGTGGTACTACATGGAAAGTATCATGCTAACTGAAATGAGTCAGAGAGGAACAGACATAGAAAGACTGCATTCATCTGGAGTACATAAAGTAACAAAATAGGAGACCAACACCCAAGAATAGCCGAGATAAGTACCAGGAGGTTCACTCCATGGTTTGGAGGCCAGCCGCACACGCTAGGGGAAAAGGCAGCTCAGATAGAGAAGGGAGCACCAAATAAAGGATGTTAGGAGGATCCTCCCAGGATGGGAGATGCATGCTGAGAGTAGACTATAGTCCGAACATGATTGCCACTCAATGCCTCTTTTGTAAACCACAGCACCCAAAAGGGGAGAGAACAAAAGGGAATGCCCTGCAACAGAGGCAGGGCGGGATGGGGGGTGATGGGGGGTGGGAGGGATACTGGGATCAGTGGTGGTGGAAAATGGGCACCGGTGGAGGGATGGGTACTCGTTCATTGTATAAGTGAAACCCAAGCACAAAAATTTGTAAGTCTACAACTGTACCTCATGGTGTTACACTAATAAAAATTTAAGGGGAAAAAAAAAAAAGACCTATAACAAGAGGTCTGAATTAGGAAGAGGTAGAACATAAGACCTCTGCAGTACTACTCTAGGAGAGTGTTCTCTTCTTCTAAAGGGTACAGAACGTCTGTGAAGGGGCCCAGAGTAGGAAGCCTCTCCGCAAAGTGAGCAGAAGGGTTAAAGGGAGAGCAGGTTAAAGGGATTGCTTCACACATGGCCAATACAAGTTCGATCCCCAGCATCACATATGGTTTCACAAGCCCACTAGGAGAAACTCTTGAACAACACCTGTTGTGCCCTAAAGAGGAAAATAAAGGGTCTAAAACCTCAAACCTCAAAGTGTGATTGTCAGCTATGCTGTTTCCAGCCACCTTTCCCATGTTGAAAAGTGTGGCGTGAGGGTGTATAAGAGCAGTCACTTACACAGACACTATCCAGGTCCCTTTTAGAAGGGTACAGCTGCCACCTGGCTTCTCAACCTCACAGACACATACGTTGGTTTTCTTACACCCTCAACCGCAAAATCTCAACGCAGAATTTCTACATCTGGACACATCTTAGTCTCCGTTTGGCTCCTGCTGCCGCTTGGACCTAACAGCCTGTATCTCTGATGCCAGAGGCCCTTGGGAACATGACTCTTGAAATATTTTGCCCTTTATAAAGAAACTTTCAAATGGGAAGGGTAATTAGACTTGAGTGAAGGCAGAAAAAAATGAGCACATGGGGCAGATTTAGAAAAAAACTCTGCCTTTTGAGATGAAAACTTTTGTCCCTTCTGGTACTGACAGCAGGCCTCCAGCTTCTCTGGCTGTCCTGAAAACCCAGCTCTTCCACACTCAGGCCCAGCCTTTCCACAGAACTGCCCAGTGTTGCCCCGGGTCCTCTAATGCTGGACCTCTTTCTCCATGGCTACAGCCCCCAAACAGTGACTCCCCAACTTCTAACTATAGCTTTTCCATCCTTCGTACCTCTAAGACTAGTCAGCCTGGCCCTTAGCTACAAAGTACATTCTATTGCAATGGCCAGAGAAGGGGATGGGGAAGGGGGTCTGTACCCTGAGGAAGATCCCTGACAATAGTTGCCTTCCTGTCCTGAGAATAAAGCCCTGGGAGAATCCCTTGGAAACTCATTTGTGCCACATACACTGCATGCAACAGACAAAACATACAAGTAGACTGCCACGCACATGCACACAAACAGGCTATAGACACACAGAGGTACACATGCAGATATGCACACTACACATGTACACATAAAAGACAAAAACAGACACACACACTGCAGACATACGTTGAAACACAAGGGGACGGACGGACATACACACACACACACTTAATTGGCCAGTTTCTTTTCTTTAATTAGGGACTAGAACAGGCTTGGTATTGTTTTATGCCTCTGAGTGCAATCCCCTGGGAACAGGGAGGGGATGACAGAGCAATGGGCCTCAGCAGGTCTCTCCAGCAAAGCTCCCATATTCTGCTAGCTCCCACCTCTTGGCTTATGCTGAGGTTGTTTCTGCCCTTCAGATTCAGCAATCCTATCTGTCCCTGCCCCCACTAGCCTGCACTCTTGAGAATGTGGAGACTAGTAGCTGGTGCTATTTTAAGTCCATCTCCTGACCTGCCCTCCCCCACCTGCTGCCTGTCTGTCAGGGCTAGAATGCTGATTGGCAGTTGGTCGTGTGGGGGCTGGGGACAGACTGTTATAAGTGTCAGAGGTCCTGAGGAGGCAGCTGTCCCTGTGGGAGCCCACTTCACTGCCACCAACATGTCCACCCACCGTCTTGTGCTGGTTCGGCATGGGGAGAGCACCTGGAACCAAGAGAACCGCTTTTGTGGCTGGTTTGATGCAGAGCTGAGTGAGAAGGGAACAGAAGAAGCTAAGAGAGGGGCCATGGCCATTAACGATGCCAAAATGGAGTTTGATATTTGCTACACCTCGGTGCTGAAGCGGGCTATTCGCACTCTTTGGACCATCCTGGACGGGACAGATCAGATGTGGTTGCCTGTAGTCCGCACCTGGCGTCTTAATGAGCGCCACTATGGCGGTCTCACTGGCCTCAACAAGGCAGAGACAGCTGCAAAGCACGGGGAGCAGCAAGTGAAGATCTGGAGGCGCTCTTTTGACATCCCACCGCCCCCCATGGATGAGAAGCACCCCTACTATAACTGCATCAGTAAGGTGGGCTTTGGGAGGGGCCCCAGATGAAGTCCTATCGGTGGGCCCTCACAGTGGGAGCTGGGGAGGGGATGTGTGATCTGGGGGAAAACAGCAGTGTGGGTGCTTCCAGGAGCGCCGGTATGCAGGCCTGAAACCAGGAGAGCTGCCCACTTGCGAGAGCCTCAAGGATACCATCGCCAGAGCCCTGCCCTTTTGGAATGAGGAGATTGCCCCCCAGATCAAGGCTGGCAAGAGAGTGCTCATTGCTGCGCATGGAAATAGTCTCCGAGGCATCGTCAAGCACCTGGAAGGTGAGGCCTACTCTCCATAGGGCAGGGGAAGATGTGCCCTTCAACCGGTCAGTCACTAATTGCTCACTTGAAGTGTGGGAGTTGGAGTGGCTTAGCACCCAGCACAGGATGGGGGTTCAAGCTGCACTGAAAGTGGAGGGTTGGGGAAACCACTTACAAACACAGCTTAGCAGAATGTTTAATGTCTATGTTCTGAGAATGCCAAAAAATGAGTCCCTCTCAAAGATACAGGAGACTATGTCAGCCAACACTCACCCAGAACCCAAGGCTGGTCCGGCTTCTCAGACACACACCAGTGAGATGGGGAAGGGCCACATAGGATCTTGTCCAGAGTCAGAATAAGGTAGTGCTGCCTGGCTTCCTAACCCAGACAACATGAGACACTTTACTCACCATGCCTCAACCATCTCTTGAACAGTGCTAATGGGGCGATTAAAATGGTCTTCTAACATACTGGGGTCATGGAAGGAAGGTCAGCAGTGGGCCCAAGCTTATTCCTGAGGGCTCAGTGGGAAGCTTGCCAGAACACAGGCCTCTCAAGGCCTTGTCCGTCTGTCTGCTCCCTAGGACACCACATCTACTCTGACGGCCTATACCAAGCCCAGCAGATGAGAGACCCCTCCAAGGGCCCGTCCAAAGCAGAGATAATGTGTTCCTAAGTACTGTGAGGACAGGGTTTTGTAAATACCAAAGGTTGAGCTGCTATTCCAGGCAGGGGCTAGAGTCCAGGAGAGTTGAGTTTCCTGAGAACACCCTTTCCATCTGGTGGAGCTGCCTTATCTACCTCACAAAGAAGCAGTTCCTACTCTCTTGCTTCTCAGGGGCATCCATCCCTATTCTACTCAGGATGGCTAAAACTACAACTAGAGCCTAAATATCTGCTGCTTTGGCCGCTGGGCCAAAGAAACCGGTGGTCCTTCTCCAGGTCGGTCAGAGACAAAGAAGGTCCTGTTTGTCACTGGCTTTTTCTGTCAGCTGCTCAAATTCATTTCTACTTAGCTTCTCTAGCCACATTCCTTCTGTTGCCTTATACAAAAGGCAGGAGGTTTGCTGCATTGTCAACCGGCTCTGAAAAAGGGGGCAGATTTGGGCTGCATCAATCAGCTCTGAGAAAGGGGAAAGACTTGTTACATGGTCGGTCAGCTAAGGCCTATGGGGGATTGGGGGGCAGAGAGCCTGTTGAATACAGTAGACAGCTGCCTGGTAAATACCCGGGAGGGGCTAAGATCTTGTTCCTCTGGTCTAGGAATGTCAGACAATGCCATCATGGAGCTGAACCTGCCCACAGGGATCCCCATCGTGTATGAGCTAGACAACACACTGAAGCCCACCAAGCCTATGCGCTTCCTAGGTGATGAGGAAACTGTGAAGAAGGCCATGGAGGCCGTTGCTGCCCAGGGCAAAGCCAAGTGATGAGTAAGTTTGGGAAATAAAGAGCCCTCCTCCCACTGCTTTGGAATCAGTATGGGTGACCATGGTTGACACAGGTTCAGGACTCCCTTGACTTCTGGAGCTCAGGCTCCCATCAACATTGCGTGGGGGGGGGGGGGGGGGGGGGGGCAGGGCAGGATACTGACCCAGCCCCATTAGATGTGAGAAACAAGGGGCAATTAACCCAGTTTAACTTCTGTGGCTAGTAAAGACCAAAACTGAGATACTGATTCTAGCCAGTTTCTTCTACTCTGGAGGGTCCAGGAAGTGCCTTTTGCTTCAATCTCTGAGAATCTCCCTGTTCAGGGAGCAGCAAAGTCAAGAACTCACATCAAAGTCCAAAACACCAAATTTATGTTGTCTCTATAGCAGGGGTGGGCCAATCTATCACACTAGATATCAGGTGTGAAGTCAAAGGGGTACACAAGACAGACCACATGTCACCATGGAGTAAAGCACTGGGTTTCAGGGTCAGTGCAGCCTCTATCCTAAGATGCATATACCTAGCACCTTACAGGCTGTAACAGACAGATATGTGTCACTCACATATAACTGTACCAACAGTCATACATGAGTGGAGGTTCTCCGATGCAGCAAAGTGGCCTCAACCCCTACCAGAAAACTGAAATGAAGGAGGCTAAACTTTAGTCACATCTTCACATTTAGTCATATCTTAACAAGCCTCTTCCAGATGACTCAACAGGTGCACTCACGCGCATGCACACCACACACCAGGAAGTGTTTCCACGCAAGGGCATTCAAGCTACATTGACAGTGCTCAGAGCTAGGGTATGTGTAGAGAAAGTCTTCACCCCCAGGTAGACAGACGGGCCAGGGAAGCAGTCCAAGTTCATGCTGGTTACTTTTTCAGAACTTGACTCAATAAACAGGCACACACCAGGCAGAGCAGAAAAAGGTGTCCACATGAAGGACCAGTTATGTCTATTGATGTTTTCACCTTCCTTCACATTTAAGTGGGGGTTTGGTCATCTCTGTCTCCACTGCCTAGGCAGTGGAACACAGAAAAGAGAAACAGCAGAAGAGATAATCTACTGCTGCAAAACTGTCAACAACTTCTAAGTTTACTGTTTCCAAGATCACTACTTGTCTGTAGTTATAACCCTTAAAAACCAAGAGGAAAAGGGAAAAAAAAGGCAAATGCAAGGCTACGGCAGAGATCTCTGCCAGATCTCACAACTGCACAGCCATTATCCTTGGATAGAAATTATCAAAAGGCAGATCTGCGTGGGTCTAAGCAGTTGGAAGCATATTTAGGAATCACTGGGTTATTGCTGCATTTGAGACAGAGTCCATGCCAGTTAAAAGTCCCAAGGTCTATCTTCATCCGGGGTCCCACTCATGGAAAATTGCCATCCGTATCTCTGAAATTGCTTTTTCCAGCCATAAGGAAAGCACTCCTGGCTGAGGAAGGAAAGGCCAGACCTCAGCCTTGAGCAGCAGTGAAGGGCCCTCATTCAATGAGCTCCACATAGTTTGCAGGAAACATGCCAAAGTGACCATCTGGCCCATAGCCACGCCACCAGCCTTCATCAATCACCTCGATGCCAGTGATGAGGTTCTCAGGGTCAAAGGAGATCTCTGTCTCGTCGGCTGCAAGGAGAGTCCAAATGCTGTATTGGCGGCTGAGGGGACCTAGACACAAGCCCTCAACATTCTATGTAAGTGCCCACTCCCCTAGGACACCTTCCAACAGGGCCTCACTCTGGGTCTAGCACTGCAATAGAAGGCTCAAGTACAGGGAAGCTGTAGGCGAGCCTGCTCACCAAGGCTTCTGCCCAGGGTGGCCTGGGGGCCTGCTAGCCAGTTCTGGTACACCTCTTTGGTCACATAATTGGCATCCAGAACAAAGCCAGCAACTGGAATTCATCACAGCAGATACTAAGTAGCTGTCTGGAGCACATGGATGTAGTTTGGGCATGCAGGATATCTGTCTGGCTCATCCATTTCATCTTCCCTTCCAACTCCTCAGGGGTTCCCCCAAAGGAGTTCCAAACCAACCCCTCCTGATTCTGGAGTCTGTGAAGGGGCCAGGACATAGCACATACCTGCCTGGTAGTCATAAAGGGCGCGAGCACAGAGTCCTTTCCCACTAAGCCCCAGGTAGTGGTCGGCATGCGCAGAACCAGCATCCTGCTGCTGCAGCTGTTTGTATATAAGAAAGAGAAGTCTTGGGTCCTAGGCATCTTTGACTAGGCCATCCATTATTGGGGCTCAGGTCAAACTTGAGGAGAGGGGCACAACACAGAGAGAACAAAGGCTGCTATTTTTTCACCCCACTCCTGCAATGCTCCCCCACCCAGCATGCCTTTTCCCAGTAGCACTCACAAAACAACTTAAGAGAACATAGCTGCTCTCCAAAGTAAAGAAGATAATCCACCACCAACATTGGTGACTAAGTTGCTCTGAGGAGTAAAGAACTCTTTAGTCCCGCCCCCCCTTGCAGGGAACCTACCATTGAGGGATCCTCGTAGAATGCCTCCTGCTCTGGGGGTTCCTCATATGTGGCCTCCTCCTCTGCCTGCACTGGACTTTGAGCAGAGCTCGGCACTGCCTCTTCATGGAGATCTACAAGAGAGAACAATCTGCTCTTACTCTGGGGAGGGGAGAGGGCATCTTCATCTTCAACCAGTCCCCCAATAGGGCTGTCAAGTGCTTGCCTTCCCTGAGCCTTAAGGAAGCAGGAGCTGGCTCTCTACTGAGGGGGATCTCTGGCTCGGCGAGCTGATTCTGAAGGAAGGGGCTCCTCAGCTTGCCTGCAAACCAATGAAAAGAACACACAGAGGGCATCATGTAGTTGGCAAGGGCTTAAAAGGACACTCTGCCTTTTCTATGCCCTATTCTGTGATGGGGGCAGACCTATCTTAGGTTAGTGTCCACCACATAGGTAGTGAACAGCATGATACATTACTCGTGGCAGCCACAGAAACACAAGACTGATATGCTCTAAACATAGGTTGTCAGGAACATCAGTGAGCTGCTGGCCATGCACTCTGTCATTCTTTGGAGGCCAGAGAGATGACTGAGGCAAGCCTGAGATCCACGCATAATTAGTGCCGAGCATTCACAGGGCTAAGTCATCAATGTGGAGTCACACTCAGTCCTCCTTTCCAAGTTTCAACAGGACAAAGTCAAGGACTGAAAGGGGTATTTGGTATTTGAATGCAAGGTTCCAAAGAAGCAGCCTTCAAGAACATGGGCTGGTCTTGCTCACTCACATACCAATACTAGTCTGAGGGGCTGTGTCCAAAGACCCAGATTCTGCCTCTGTCTCACAGGTAGGCCTAGAGGAAATGTCTTACCTGGCTGGGAACTGGAGGTAGATGAGGAAATAGCCTGCTCCTTCTGCTTGAAAATCTCCCGTGGATGTACTGGCTGCTGAGAAAGAGGCTCCTGGGAGGGCACACATTAACCCAGCAATGAGCAAGAGCCCAAGATCTACTGGTCTGCCTGGTTCCTAACAGCGATGTGGGACATCAAAAGTCAAAAGGCCTCTTCCAAAGCTAGGCTGAGACGCACCCCTGATTATCTGCTCTTGTCCTCCCCTCTGTGATGTACTCGAGGCCCCAGGTTCTCACATGCCCTAGCAGAAACCTCACAGTCAGCCGTCTTAAGCCCACTGGGCCATGGCAAAAGCATTTCAGGCTTACATATTACAATACAGAGTCCCCATGCTTGCAGCAAGAAGCTTGTAGAGCCCTTAGCTGTCAGGACTCCCACCTATTCCCAAGTGTCCTCTGGATGGGAATATCCAGATCTCACCTGGTTCTCTCTGTTCCTGGAGATCACTTCCTGCTGGTCGTAATTCCTGCTTAGAGGGAGAGAGGTAGCAGGAGCAGAGAAAAATCAGAGCCCACTACACTCAAGACCCCACGTGCCTCCCTGATAGTCCTGAGGAGGGGAGGGTAAGGACCCTGAGGCTCACCTCTGGGGAGCAGCCTTCCTGCCCTGCCCCTCATACTGCTGTTCCCGGAGAGCTGCCTCCCGAAGCTCCCGCTCCCGCCACTCCTCCTCTAGGCGCTGCCGCTCCTCCTCCAGGCGCTGTTTCTCCTCCAGTCTCCTGTTTTCCTCTTCCTTCTGCCAAGAGCCAGCCCCTGCACTGACTGGGGAGGCAGTGTTCTCTTACCCCACCCAGACACTCAGGGAGGCAAGTATTCTGCATGCCACATGGATTCAGTGGCTTGAGACTGACTCCAGCCACGTTATTGGACCTCTCTAGATCAGTTTGTCATCTGTACATGGGTGTTAATAAGAACATTGCTCCATAAACTTATTGTGAGAAAAACTGAAATAGGGCAAGTGAAATACTCATTGTACACTCAGCACATATTAAGGTAAGATGTGAATTACTCACTCCTTAAATGCGAGGATCATGACGATGGCTGCACTCACCTCGGCCTTGGCCCAAAAGCTGTCCTTGCCAACCCTTTTGATCTCAGACACAGCATTTGTTTTCTGGTACACAGAGCCCTGTAGTGAGAGAGAATTCTCTGCAGATTCTCAAGTGGGCAAGGGGAACACAGGCAATACCTGACAGATCCAAGAGTCTCTGACCTCTAATTCTTAAGACTAACACCAGAGTTCTGAAAAGCCTGCGACACTGCAAAGGGGGAACACACGCCTGCAGACAACAGTGGAGGGGTCTCAAACTCATAAGGTACATCTGTACAAAGCCAGGGCAGTCAAGCCAGCAGCCCAGAGGAAGCTGAGTTTCACTCAGGAGGCTGGACAATCAGAGCTGGCCACCATGGTAGTGCCCATGGGATCTTGAGAGACCACAGATGTACACCAGAGGACAGGGCTCCCTACTTGGGACTATGGCTAAACAGGCCACAACCAAGAGGGAACTGACTGTTTCCTCAGGCACCATGCAGGACATACACCTTTGAAGAGCCTGGCTTAAGCAGTTGCACAGCTGAACAAGTAGCCACTCCGTGGTCTTGAACAAGGGCCACACCTCACACTCACAAGGCAACTGCCTCAACAGTCAATGCTGTCAGATGCAGGGCCAAATGTTCCTTGACATGGCCGAGGAAGTAAAAGCGAGATAGGTGGAAAGCGAGTCCAGACCTCTGGGGATTGACACACAGAGGGAAGGTTCCCAGTCTTGATGCTGGGAACTACACAATTCCACCCACCATCCCCGGGTCCATGTAGTACTCACCACAGGGGCCTGGGGGCCTGTGTCTTGGAAGCGGCTGCTCTCCCTATGGAAAGTGTAGTTGGCACCCGAGGCCCTGGCCACCTTCTGCATGATGCACTCGGGTTCCACATCCTCCTCAGCCCTCGCATTGATGGTCACATGTGCACCCTAAAGCAGGAGCAACTCTTAATGGAAGGCATTGCAATCCCAGGCTGCAACAAGTCTGCACACGACTAAACACTGCTGCCCAGCTCTTGGGTGAGGAACTGAGGCAAGCTCTCAACAGCTTAGACAGGCCATCCTAAGGAAAATCCCTATACTTCCAGTACATGTGCAAGGCCCTGGAGCCCTATGGTGCTCTCTGTGGCTAGCTCTGGAATGTTGTACCTGCCCTACTACAATTCAGTAAATAGCTAAGACATTCCAAAGGCCATTAAAAGGCACTTTCTGAGGCTGGGGATCTAGCTCAGTGGTAGAGTACCTATTTTTTGTGTGAAGACCTGGGTTCCATCCCTGGCACCACAAGGGAAATAAATGGTTCTATCAATGAAAATTACCTAAGGGGGATCAGAGAAATACTACAATAAGCTGGGCACTTGCCTTACACACGGTCTACCATATTCATTCCCTGGCTCTCCACATGGTCACCCGAACATAGCCAAGAGTGATCCCTGAGCAAAAAGCCAGGAAGCCCTGAGCAACAGCCAGGTGTGCCACCCTCCCCCCCCCCCAAAAAAAATTAACCAACAGCATCTGAAAATACATTTTGTACAATAAGTGAACCTCCAATTTCTTCCTGAGAAATCAAACCCATGATTTCCCTCTTTTAAACATCTAATAAACACGAGGTATTCTCTTTCAGCTCCAAGGAAAAACTGAGGCATATCTGAAGAAATGGTGGCAGAACTGGAAACCAAAGGCCCAAGTTTACTTGCCAGTAACAACATTAACAAAAATGTATTAGATAAGTGAACAAATGCTCTTGATAAAATGCTTTTGAAACTAAGCAAGTTTCCATTATATGATGACCATTATAGATATGTTCCAAAATAGGATCATTATAGGTTATGTTCCAAAGTGAACATGCACAATGTGAGAAAAAGCCAACTTTCCCTTCTCACCAATTCTGACAGTACTTTGTAGTGTCCGGGCAGAGAGACAGCAAAGGGGTAAAGCATATGTTTTGTACCTGGGAGCCCTGGGTTTGATTCCTGCACTACTTGGTCCCAAAAGAATGGAGCTGATCATAGCCCCTTCCCAGCACCACTGGTATGAACCCAAAACAGAACCAAAAATGTTTTTAATACTAATAAATGGAACTCAGGGTTCCTGACAGTCAAAAAGGACTCAATCCTTTGTTCCTCTTCCCCATGGAGAGCAGCCTGTAGGTGGCTCTACCAGGATCCTGACCTCTCACATGCTCACAACAGCTCTGATTATGCCCAAATCTAGACCGAGCAACAGAATCCAGGACTTAACTTGGAACTCAGCTGTAATTTCCCATCATTCACACTCAGGAACCTTGGGACCAGGGCCAAAGCAAGAGTACAGCGGGTAGGGCATCTGCCTTACATGAGGCCAACCCAGGTTCGATCCCTGGCATCCTATGTGGTCCTCTGAGCACTGCTAAGGGTAATTCCTGAATGCAGAGCCAGGAGTAACCCATGAGCATAGCCGGGTGTGACCAAAAAAAATAAACAAAAAAAGAAACCTTAAGACAGGGAAATTCTGTGAGATCCTTTATAGAGCAGACAAGACTAGGGTTGCCCTTACCTTCAGAAAGCTGGCTATGGTGCTGACATGGTTAGCACACGCTCCCTTCCGCACGTCATTCACACCTTCGCCAGTCTGCAACATAACACACACAGCATGAACCTCCATCCAATTCCCCAGCATGACCCAGGCATCCCCAACAAACCACTTCCTCCCAGAGAACTTGACAGTTTTCCTATGTCCTAAAAGAGAAAACTGCAACCAAAGCTAAGAAGGTAAGTCCTTCTCTTCCAAGCTCAGAAAAGTTCTCTGAGGCAGGGCAGCTCTCACTATAGGAGAGCTGTCTCAGATTTTCCTGGTGCCCACTAAGAACTTTGTTAGGGCCCAGCCCTGCTCTTTTCTATGGCCTCTGGCCCCTCAGGATAAACTACCCCGTAGAAAAAGTGAACAAGGGTATCTTGTGTATGTATTCCACTTTACATGTATTTCTGAGCTTGGAGAGTAAATTCGGTACTAGTTAGGCATTCTCTGGGTCACAAGTACTGTTCTTTCACCAGTCTTAAGTCCTCCACAAAAGGGGTGAGAGGAAGGGAAGGGAACAAAGGGAGTTCTGGATCATACTCAGATGAAAACTCAAGAGTCCTCAAGTTATACATACCCAGTTGATAAGCACGAACTTAGGCAGGCCAGAGTTGGGGTCCTTCACCCTGCAGAAGGCGTACATCACCTTCCCGCTATTGAGCTCCTCCACCATCTCCTCCAAGCCCCCTTCTGCAGCAGTCACAAGGAGGATCAAAGGTGGCCCAACACCCCCTGCCCACCTTAGCAGCTAGTCCAAGAAAGGAAACTCAAACTGTGTCTACACCAGGGTTCTCAGTTCTACCTGCAACAGAATTAGCATCTTGGTCCCATCCCGACTAAGTAGATTTATAAGACCTGGGCAGGAGCACAATATGCATTTGCACCAGTACCTCAGGTGAACAGTTTTTCTTTAATCCATACTAATCTAAAATCAATGCATAATTCTGGAAATAAAAACGTTCTTACTGCTATAAACCAGGTACCATTCTAAAAAGGTTTCTGTGATACTATCACAGACATAAACATTCCATAAAGGATTCTAGAAAAACAGAATCTGCTGTGAGTCATCTATATGTCTATTCAGAACTCTGGAACCACCCACAGTTCTACACAGGCAAGAATGTCCCAGTTGAACATTTGCTTTTCTCGTAAACTCTGAGTAGATTAAGAAAGTAATACCCTAATGCTTTCTCCACTGACAGTCTGAAGTCCACCATGTGTAAGAGTTTGAAGTTCTCATTGGAGCCTTCACACGTTCCCAGTTTGAGAGGAAGAGGATCAGGTGTTTCAATCCTGAATCCCTAGTCTGGGCACACACAGCACAGCCCTGTAAGGACAACTGGGAATAATGGTAGGAAAATCCAGTTGCTGAACTCTGTAATCCTGTTGCCAATAGCATCACAGTGCACCTGTGACCACCTTCAGGGACAGTTCTAAGTAACCGTTAGGGAGAGGTACTATTAAGAAGGAGTAACTTTCTATCACCAAGTCACTAAACCATGAAACTGTGTCTAGCTTGAGTGAACTTTGGGCACAGGGAAGAGTAAGGAATATCAGTTTACACACTTACACCTGGTTCAATCAACCCAGGGTTGGTCAAATACCAGCTCTTCCTGAAGATACTTACTGTCATCCCACATTTTATCAGTACTATTTCAGACCCTCCTGTCTCAGTTGACAGTGTACACTGATGCTACATCTCTCGAACAAACTTAGTTCACCAAGACAAAGTCAAATCATCTGTGTACCTATTAAATACCCAGCAGCATAGATCTGTTATTCTCTCAGCTGTAGCTCAAAGCAAGGAATGAAGTGTGAGCCAGGCAATGGGAGCCTGTACCCTATCTCAGCTACTCCATCTCAACTACTCCCAACTACAATCCAGGATACACAAGAATCTTCACTTAGAAGAATCTAAAACCCAAAGGTTACCCTAAGTATTCCTTCCACCCACCTCCAATGTGTGGATAAATTCCTCCATCTTGGCTATGCCTGATTATGTCCTGACGAGGAAACCAAACATTTCCCCAGTATCATCAATGTGGGTGGGTCTCCTCTTGGACAGTGGAGGTGTCACTGGAGTTGTACCACATGCAGGCCCCTGATGTTTCTCCGCTCCCTCCCCATATCCTACCTTCTGATGTACCCCAAACCGTTTCATATTTGGTCAAACTTACCCCCAGTGCCAGCCACACGAATGTCATTGCTGTTGCCTTCATAGGTAAAGAGAGCCCTGGAAAACACAACACACATACAAATGGCTACAGAACCAGTCTTGGGTTCCATTGCTCTCATTGTACCTACCAAGGCTTTATGCTATACCCCAAAGAGCTAAGCAGGACACTATGATAGGAGCACCGACAACCAACATGGACCCCACGATGAAATGTCCCAAAATCCTTTACAGGATGAAACTGGGCAAAGCTGATCTAACGTAGCACAGGGACTTATGAGAAACAAATCAACAAAGACAGGGAATGTATCTCTGAGAAAAAATGAGCTATAAAGCTTTATGGAAACTTTCAACACAAAAACATGTATAGAAGACAGGCATGTGAATCTGAAAAGCAAAGGATACCTGAACCCAAAATACAGAAGGAAGCGACACCATGTATAGCAGGCACCTACAAGGCTTCCCAAGGCTAAACCAGATCGGGCATCCCAGAGGTGCTGGAGAAATATGCCAAATTTTATTAAATATGGGCCACAGAAGTTTCTTTGACCAGAACAAAAGCTGTGGAAGTATTAAGAGGTAACTTCCCTGTCATCTGTGAGGAAACCACCTATTGCCCCAACTCTTTAGTAGCTCTGCTACAGGCAATAGAGGGAAGAAACACAGATCGACTTAGACAGCAAGTCAAACAGCAAGTCTAAGACAAATCCTGGTCTAGCTGACTTTTCTCCCTATTCCAGAGCATACGCCTGCCAATACTGGCAAGACATGTAAAGCCTGACTGAAACATAGCTTATCCAAGGTCTTAGTAATGTCACTAACCAAAAAATGCAAATACTTGGGACCAGCAGATCTGGTTGATAGGGAGGACAGGCCACCAAGAAAGGATTATTGCTTCCTAGGGAAAGAGTATCAAAGGAGAGAGATTCTGAAAATGAAACTAGGTGAAATTGGGGTGGGGGGGAGGGTGTTTGGAGATAGTGGATATTCAGATTATGGTGATCAGGGTCTTGTCCTGCGCTCCTGGAGGAAAGAAGTCTACTTTTTTGACATTCACAGAGTCCTGGCTACAAATGATGGGGACACTGGACAAGCAGCATGCAACAGAAATGATCGCTCACTCCACCTAGCACTTCCACGGAGTCCAAACTCTGAGCTTGCCACCCATCCTGCTAATATTCCCACCCACCCTGAGTAATAGTCTAAGTCATCTTCTGGAACGTTCCCCTTTCAGAAGCTCATTTCCACATTCAATCAAGCTCTACCCTTCTTCCAAATCACAGGTAAAAAATGATATATGAGGCATGACAAGCATGAACCTCTGTGAACCTTATAATTAATGCATTCTTCTCCAAAAAACTGCTAAGAAACCTGCTGCTTGCCAGGAAGCACAGATAATTCCTTAGAGGAATTACCCAGGAAAATTACTACAATGAGACAAGAAACGTATCAACCCTACTGTCAGACTGTGACTTGGGCCTAAATACATCTTGATACAAGGAAAAAAGTACTTGGGATAACCTACAACAAAGACCCAAGTCTGGGAACTGATGCTGTGGCTATTTACCAACACACCTGGCTTCGAGACCTGATCAAAGCTAACCACACTGTAGATAAAAACCTTAAACACTTCTGTTCTCATACCCTCCCTCCATCTTTTCTATAGCCCTCGCAGTCCATTCTTCATCTGAGGATTGACAAGTCTAACAACCCTGCACCAGTGACAAGACCTACCCCACAGTGGAGAAGTAAGAAACCCAGAAGGGTTTCTGGTAACATGTCCAGAGGAAGTCAAATAAAGTGTCTCAAATATGTGTCTATATACATTCAGGAGCCCGGCAAGCTACCCGAAGAGTATCTCGCCCACACTGCAAAGCCTGGCAAGCTCCCCATGATGTATTCGAGATGCCAAACACAGTAACAACAAGTCTCACAATGGAGACGTTACTGGTGCCTGCTGGAGCAAATCATTGAACAACAGGAGGACAGTGCTACATATATTCAGGCAGTTAGGAGTCAATAACGGCCACTTGAAGAAGGCAACCTTAGTCTTGAGAGACAAAAGTCGGTAACTTTCTGGGACAATGTAGAATGCTGCTGACGGAGGAAGTAGGAGGATTCTCAAGTAATTGAGGAACTAGCTACCGGATTTGAGGAAGAGAAAGGTTAGCGTGAAGGTAAACAGGTGTGGTGGGAGTCTGGTAAACAAGAGGGCAAGAGGAAACTGTTGCAAGGGGGGGCTAGCCTACATTTAATGGCACAATGAGAAGCCCCTGCAGTTAAAAGCAGGAAATTAACGTTACAGATTCCATTCCTCAGCTAGTAAGTCCGATTGCCACACAAGTACCTATTGAAATAATGGCTAAAAATCAGAGGCCGGTACGCTATGAGAGGCAACTGAAGGGCAACACAGTAAGACCAGCTCCCTGAGCAAGTGCTCTGCATGCAGGAGGCACAAGTTCATCATAATACTGCAGGGTACTCAAGCACAGAGTTGGGAGTAGCCCCTGATCACCATCAGCAGTGGCGCACAAACAAAAGAACAGAACAGCCTAAGAGTAAGTAGGGTGCTAGAGAGATGGGTGGGTCCTGACTGAGAGGAACGAAGGTTGCATTCTCCTGAGAGAATGGGGGAGTTGTAAAGGGGGAGTTGTAGTTCTGGTGAAAAGAAAAGAAAAGAAAAGAAAAGAAAAGAAAAGAAAAGAAAAGAAAAGAAAAGAAAAGCAGCAAACACTGGAGGACTGAAGAGAAAAGCCTGCTCTGACTCTGGGATGCCGGAGTTCACCCTGAAACCAGTTTCTGATTAGACAGAACGAATACCTACCTAGAAGAGGGAGGAGGGGAGAGCGCTTCACTGCACCAAATAATCAAGAAAATAAAAGAACCCTAACTAGGCAGAGCTGGAGAGGGGCCAAGGCATCCTGAGTTCCAGTCACACAGCTTCGCGTGGCCGTGGCTGTGAAAAGGAGGCCACCGTGGGGCGGCGCACTCGGCAGCCACTCCAGGTAGGCGGTGCCGCCTGCCCGGGGTCGCCGGCACTGCAGGCGGCTGGTGGCCCGGGGGAGGAGGGGGGAGCGGGGGGCAGGGCAGAGGGGCGCCCCTTTCCTGCTCAGAGGGGCGTTTCCGGGAGGGGAGGGCGGGGAAGTCGGGAAGTCAGTGTAGAGGGAGGGATCGACAGACCCTCCGCTGACCTCTGTAAGCGCGTGGCCGAGTGCCTGGGCACCCACTGGCAGGCCCCCTTCCCCCTCAGAGATCGTGCGCGCGCAGCACGGCCGGAGCTCGCCTCAGGACCCGCAGCAAGCGCGGCCACCGCCCGGAGCCCGACCCCGGAAGCGCCGGGCTGCGGCGAGGCGCGGCCAGAGCAGCTCGGCGCCGCGGCTGCGGTGGGCTGCAGGCCCGCCCGTCCTCCCCACAGCACGGCCGCCCGGTGCTGGGGTCCCGCCCCCGCTCCGCCTCGGGGCCCACCAGTCGGTCGGGGACTTCTCGGTGACCACCCGAACGTAGGCCTCCTGCAGGGCCGCCCCGTTTCGGCTCAGGTTCACAGCCATGGTCGCCGCCGAGTCCGCTGCCGCCGCACTCGCTTCCGCAGTCCGCGAACACCGCCGGCCGGAAGCCCCGCCCGACAGGCCGGAAGCCCCGCCCCGGCAGGAGGCCCCGCCCCGGCAGGAAGCCCCGCCCGACAGGCCGGAAGCCCCGCCCCGGCGGGAGGCCCCGCCCGACAGGCCCGGAAGCCCCACCCGACAGGCCTGGAAGCCGCGCAGCGGCGCGCGCCGTTGCCCTCCTACTGCTCACGGGGTCTAAGCTCCTCATTCTGGTTCATTGATAGACTAGTTCCGCCTCGTGGAACCAGCTGACCTGGAGTTCTTGCTAGCGTGGTTAGAGGAGGCGGTAGCTAGGTTTCCCTGCTGGCTGGGTCGCAGACCGAACCGAAAGGGAGCATCTGTCCAGGGTCTGGCCGAGATGGAGAGAAGAGGGCATGAGTGGAGCCCAGGCCGCTGCCTCTTTGCTTCGGAGACCCCAGGCTTTCCATTTCCATTGCAGAAATAAGAGAAATATTCTCAACCTGTGTTCAGCTCACCAGGTTCAGAATAGCATCTGGCAATCAAAAGCATTCATATTTCTGCAGAGATGTATGTGAAAACCTGCAAAGACTAATTGGCCTCATGGCAGCTCAGATCAGCATTTACTGCCCAAGTCTTCATGGTGTTATTGTTGATGGGTTAGGTAGATAAGGGCTCACGATCCATATATGGCTTAAATACTTTTCACTTGCTATGTATGTTCTACTTTTGGTTTCTATCTTTGTCTTTCAGGCAGAAGTTCTTACTTCTCTCTGAAAAGTATGGCCCCAAACTGTTAAGTTCTGCAGTCCTGGACAAATTCAGTAAAGTTTCAGCAGCTCTGGTTAGTAGCCTTCCTGCATCCTGCGTTCCACTCAAGGTCTTTTCTTCTACAAGGGGAAGTCTCACCTCTTTTCCACTTTAATTTGACTATTGTATTTGTAGGATAACATTGGTTTGTCCTTTCTCCCTTGCTCAGGTAGCTTAGGTTTTTTGGGTTACACCCACACAGTACTCCTGAGGCACTCCATTCCTCTGCTTTGCTTCCATTATCTGTTAATTACCTATATCCCCAAATCACACCCTGTGACTTGTAAAGTCAGATTCTTCTAAGGACTCCGGATTTTGTATTTTTGTAAGGGAAATAGTGCTTTTCTCTTTCCCTTATGTCCTTTGTATGGTTTACTTTAGAACAATGTCCTTTTTATATAGACACAGGAAGACAGATAATGCTATGCTTTTGTAACTTGGGAGTTAATTGACTCCAAATAATATTTACTCGATTTAGCCTCAGTTGCCCTCTTTCCTAGCACCCCAAAAGCAGGGTCCCAACCAAGGGACTGGATGGACCCAGGGCAAGCTGTCAGCTACTCTGACATGGAAACAGGTCAAGTGCCATGAAACTTATAGTAAGTTAAGAGCATGATTGTGGACAAATTTATGTCATTACCCTAAGAGAAGAGACTGGACAAGGACCCTGCAGAGATTAGGAGGGACCAATCTGGCCTGAGGACTGTTGTCTGATATCTATAGTCAGATGTCCCCAGGAGAGTCACCCTATGAGCTTAATATATCAAACATATATTAACATACAAAGTGACTAGGTAGATTAATCAGAAAATCTAAGATGATTGTTTATGGACTATGGAAAAGAGAAGCATGTCCTTAGATGAAATTCTGCCCTTGAGCTTTTCTCCTAGCAGGATGAGCTCTTTGTCCTAGAAGAGTTTCCCCAGAATGAAGGGAAGGGCTTTACATATGCTGATTGTGCTATCTGACCTATGTGTAGTTGCTACACCCAATGCCAGGAGGTTAGGCTCTAGACTAAAGCTACTAGCCTGGGTACAGGGAGAGAGAGAAGCAAGGGGAAAGTAGGAGATGGGAATGCGTGGAGTGTGAGACTGGAATGGGGAGCTTAGAAAGATTGGAATAGGTGCACAGGGAGAATGGAATAAACGGTGGGACAGAGATTGGAATAAATGGCGACTAATCACCACAAGAGCCCTCACCACTTAATTTTGAATACACAATAGTTACATCAGAAATACACTTTCTTTACATAAAGGAATAGAAAGTGTCCTGCAACTGCACCCTAAGCTATCTTCCTACCGTCAAACATTGCAAATCCCTCCAGAGGGACCACTTTGAGAATTCCAGTTTAAAATGGAGCCAGGGCACAAAAAAATAGTGCCCTGAGTGCTAAGTGTCCTCCACAGTCTGAGTATAGTTAGCTTTTTCCTAAAGGCATCCAAGTTCAAGTGCGGAGAGAGGCTCTCTTGCATTTCCTTGGGAACCCACTATCAAGAAACCAAGAGCAGGTTCCGGCTCTCCTGCCCACTCAGCCCCTACCTTTACTAAGCACAGACCCTTGGGCCCAGGTCTGTGGACTAGCATCAGGACTGACTGGGGCGTGACCTTCACGTAGGGGACGTGACCTCCTCGAGGTGGGCGTGGCCTCCTCTGATGCAGCTGGCCACAGTTATATTTGCCACTCCCAGCTCTCTCGACTCACATCCTAACCTGTATCACCTGATTCTTTGAAAAAATTCCTGGCCACCTCAAACACGATACGACAAAAATTCACTGGGCTACTCTAATTCCAACAAAAGGCCAGTAGGCAAGAAGCTATTCAAGCCCAATATAAAAGAGCACCTCCTCCAACGCTTTACTAGAATCCTATCATAAGCCACAGATTAATCTCTGAGAGGAAGAACATATTCTCAAAGGGGAGAAGGTTGAGCACCATTGACCAATCTTATTCAGAATCCTTTCCCACAATAAGAGGGAACACTGCTAGTGAACCCCAAGGTTTTATCTCCATACAACCACAACAGCATGAAGAAATAGCGCAAATCTCCACTACAAGGAGAGGATGAAGAAAAGAGTCTCAAAACCTCAACAAAGGTTACACACAAATATGATCTCTTAGATAAAGAATAACGAGAAGAAATGCTGAAGATGTTCAAGGAACTACTCAAAGAATCAATGGAGTAGAAATACAGAAAATTAAAGGAAGAAATGAAAGAAACAGTGGAACAGATAGCCGAGATAATACAGGAAGAAATGAGAGCAGAAATAAGAAAAATACAAAAAGAAGTGTCACAAATAAAGGATTCAATAGATGAAATTAAAAACTCAATGGGTGCCCTCAGAAGTAGAATGTCTACAGCTGAATACAGAATTAGTGATCTTGAAGATGACCAACCGAAATAGTACAGGCAACAACAAACAATGGGAAATGACCTCAACATAGCTCTAAGTCTAGGGGATGACTCCAAGAGAAACATTAGAATCACTGGAGTACCAGAAGGATAGGGAGGCAACTCCAATGAAAAAACCACAGTGAAAGAAATCTTTGCTGAAAAGTTCCTAGTTAAAGAATGCAGACATCCAGACCCAAGGAGCCAGAAGGGTACCAGCTAAAAGAGACCCTAATAAAAACACTCCAAGGCATATCATAGTCAGAATGATGGATGCCATGGATAGAGACACAATATTACAAGCAGCAAGGTCAAAGAAGGAAATCACATACAAAGGAACACCCCTTAATTTACAGCAGATCTATCAGAGGAAACCCTCCAAGCCTGAAGATAATGGTGGGATATAGTGAAAAAACTCAAGGAAATGAACACCTCACCAAGAATACTTTATCCGGCTAAACTCTCACTCAAAATCAATGGAATGATACATCATTTTATAGATAAACAACAACTCAGGAACTTCATAGACTCAAAACCAAACCTAAAAGAAGGACTAAAAGGGCTCCTGTAATTCAAGAAATAAAACACCCATAAGCACAACAAACCCTTAGAGAAAGATGGCATAAAACTCCATGACAATAATCTCTCTCAGTGTCAATGGTCTAAATGCACCAATCAAGAGACACAGGGTGGCAAAATGGATCCAGAAACGGAAACCAACATTCTGCTGCCTACAAGAAATTCATCTTAACAGTCAGAGGAAACACAGACTAAAAGTTAAAGGATGGAAAACAATCCTGGAAGCAAACAACTCCCTCAAAAATACTGGGGTTGCCATACAAGTATCTGACAACATAGATTTCAGGTTGAAAAAGATTAGTCAGGAAGTGAATGCCATTTTCTATTTATCAAAGGGTATGTACAACAGGAAGAATCACACTCTTAAATGTATATGCACCTAATGAGGGAAGAGCTAAATACTTAAAACAACCAATGAAATTCAAAAGACCATCAGAGACTACTTTGAGAGTTTGTATGCCACGAAACAAGAGAACCTAGAAGAAATGGATAAATTTCTGGATTCCTACAATATACCAAGACTGACCCAAGAATGCTTGGAATACCTGAGTAGACCCACCAATTCATATCAAGGAAATCGAAACCGTAATAAAAGTCTTCCCAAAAACAAAAGCCCAGGCCCAGATGGATTCACTAGCAAATTCTTCCAAACATTTAAAGAAGACCTGTTGTCAGGTTTCCTCAAGCTTTTGCAGGAAGTTAAAAAATCTGTAACTTTCCCAAACAGTTTCTATGAGGCACATATATCCCTAATACCAAAAGCAAACAAGGACACCACTAACAAAGAAAATTACAGGTCAATATTTCTGATGAACACAGATGCGAAGATCCTCAACAAAATATTAGCAAATAGAATCCAACAACTCATCAAAAAGATCATACACCACGACCAAGTGGGATTCATCCTGGGGATGCAAGGATGATTTAACATTCGGAAATCAATATAATCCATCATATCAACAAAAGTAAAGATAAAAAACATATGATCATATCAATAGATGCAGAGAAAGCATTTAACAAGAGCTAACACCCGTTTATGATGAAAACTTTCACCAAAATGGATATTGAAGGAACTTTCCTCAAGATAGTCAAAGCCATCTATGACAAACCTACAGCAAGCATTATCCTCAATGGGGAAAAACTAAGGGTCTTCCCTCTAAGATCAGGAACAAGACAAGGATGCCCACTCTCACCACTTCTGTTCAATATAGTGCTGGAAGTATTTGCAATAGCAGTTAGGCAAGAAAAAGACATTAAGGGCATTCAGATAGGAAAG